GTGCTGGCACCCAGTGAGAATTTCACCCATCCCGAAGGGAAAGACAAAGGCCCCAATCGCGAAACGTTTCAGATCAACTTGCTCCCTTGCACTTATTTGAAATTCATGGAACAGTCACTTCTGCATTACCTTCAGCTACCTCTCCCCACCCGCGATGGAATTTATCAGTTTGCATACGAATATAGCCGCTCAACACTGGATTTCGCTTCTTTTCTAGTGCACTTCATTTGAAAAGTCCCTAAACGTGAAATGCAAGTATGTGCACAGGACATTTCTTGATTATTCTTCCAATTTTGACTGCCTACCCTGATTTCCTTTACTTAATACGCTCCAATCGTTTGGTTGTCCTGCTTCTCTCAATGAATGGCTTACTGATTCCTTGTGGCAAATATATGTCAGATTTGGAATACGACAGTCAACGGCGTCACTCAATAGTTCGGGTGTATTTCAAGGTGGTCTTACCAAACTACTTTTGTTGACTTATGTCAGTGATCTACTTATTACTTATTACGACATTTTATATATGCTGATAATATCCGTCTCCAAAACATCAAAACTGGCTGCATATGACAGCAATTTATTCCACACCGTTATGTATTCCACTTTATACGACTTCAATCTTAATCCCGAAAAATACCTTGAATGTACTCTTACTTTAAACGGAGCCCCATCTCCGTCCGAAAAGGTACGGATCGAGGGAAGGTTGGTGAGCAGCTGCATCCATGTGAAGTACCTAAATGTCACACTTGAAAGTAACCTTCGCCGGTCTTTACATACCCTAACTGTTGCTCGCAAGCTGAAAGTTTTCTCTTTTTAGATAAGAAGACTGCACCACTACTGTTGTAATTTGTCAGCGGTAGAAGCTATTATTTAACAATGTATTCTGCCTATATCCCTTTACTGCTCCCCTGTGATTCTCCTTGCTTTGCTGAAGGCTGATGTCAGGCCGGTGAGGCGTGGCTTGTCAATGATCAACTGTTTCCCAAGTTCCACTATCTGATCCGGTTGACAATAGCTGTGATACTCATATTGATGCGTGCTGATAAGATTATATCTGATTGCACCCATCCTTTACACATTGACCTGTATGCATACAAATCCCATCCACCCTCACCCGTTTCCAACACAAACTCATTCTATCTCGGATATCAGCCAACAGAAGCTCCTTGGTCCCCTATCTTGCCCGGACGCTGACCAACAAGGAGTGTTCATTCTGAGCTTTCAGATGCATTCAGTAGTTACAAGCATTTTGCACGCTAATTGTCCCACACTGTCCCCTTTTTGTTGGTCTTTTGACGGTGGTCTCTTGTATATAACTTGCTTAAGCTTCAATACAATATAATACTTTTAGTAGCTGCCTTTGGATAAATAAGCAAAAGAAGAATGACTCTATTGATAGCACAGTTAGAGCAAATATAGAATTCGTATGCTCTGGGGGTGCCCGGATAGAGAGTAGACGCACGAACTGCACTCGGTCTCTGATCGCCGGATAACGATTGTCCGGAGATAACCCAACCAGTGAGCCGAACGCGACCCGTATGATCGAGCTTTTTGATTAAGGCTTTCACACTGTCATGACAGGTTTTGGTTTGCCTGCTCTTGAATTTTCCATCCGCTACTTGCCGCGGTAAACATCCCGAATCGTGGCAACCTATGTGGTGACATGCCTCAACTAGCGTAATTTGTGAAGGTCAAACACTTCCATCAATGGGCGACCGCGATCATCTGTGTCTAACCTCGGCAATGCTTGTCCGGTTTCCCCCACCCGCCACGGTAGTGAATGGACGAGCCTTGTCCTTTGTTTCACTGACTATAGTATCTTCGGTGATCCTGCTCTCCGTGTGAACACTAGTGGCTCAGGTCTACGTATTCGCTCTTATAAAACAACATTTACTTAGCTCGAATTTTCATTACGACTGTTGATGAAGAGAATCAAAAATTAAGCAATAAGTTTGTAGAAAAATTGTAGGTGAAACTTAAATGAAGTCAAAATTAAACTACCTCCATTGCATTACGGTATTGGGATGGAAGTTCGACATAAAGATAGGAACCAGTGATTTTGAATAGGCCCAAAATGTTATTACCAAGAAAGGCCACGTGGGTGGTTAAACGTTAGTGGGCGTGTTTTACCTCGTTGAATAAGCAGTCGCAAAGATTAGAAGCAATCTCTGAGGGTGCGCTAGGTTTTCTCCTGGCAAGCAATCCCTCTGTAACAAAAAGCCACCATTGTCCATAGAAAGCATCTGGAGATACGTGCAAACCGGGCCCAATATCAAATGAGGCCATTACGTGGTTGCCCTACCGTCAGTATTGGTTTCGAGGTACGATTTATCGAGGAAGGAAATATGGATGGGGCAACGAAGATATGGATAATAGACTTCACGGGAAATGAAATTCGATTTTCGTGGAGGGTTTTCTTACAGAACGGATATCCAGAAGGATTAATCGACAAGACCAGAGAGAGAGAAAAACAAAGAAATAGGAATCCCTGAGACCTTATTTGTGTTTTTTACCGTCCATTGCAGATAGGGCGGTAGAAATTATTAAACAAACGAACTCCGGAAGGGTACATCGAACATTCTAGCCATGCCAGCTATAACTCATGTTTAGATCCAGAGTGATTACGTCTTTGATTGAACGACAAGGCGTGCCAGATTCTACTGCTCTGTATTGTCTTCAATCACCCGTTTCTGTGAAACATTGCAGACTGGCCGACATACCAGGCACTCTCCCGGTTGCGTTTATGAACATCAATCGGTTTGGTTGAGCTCGGAAGTAACTAGGATAACGACGAGGGCAATGTGCTCGTACCTGGTCGAGATTAACTGGTTTTATCCGACATGTAAAATCCGAAGTAGGCAATCAAACGCCGCAGCCCCAGGCTATAAGTATTCGTATCCACACACCCCGCATGTTCAGAAGCGATTGGAGGTAAGTGCCAAAACTCTCCTGGACCACTTCATCTCACCCAAGTGTGCCACCGCTTTGAACATCTGACACATTAATCCATTTCGTACACTCAGACAGATTCAATGGGATTCAGACCTGCAAGAATAGGAAATCAACCCTGTATCTTGGACTCTGATATTGTGATTGGTATAATTACGAATAAATAAAAGTAAGTCTATGTGACAGGCCATATTCTTCTCGATAGGAGCTATCGCGTGTCGAATGTATCATGAACTGCGTGCGTGCATGGAGGTTTATAGCTCTAGGTATATCAGCTTCCAAGCAAAATTCCTCGAGGGTCGGGTGTTTTGCTTATGCCCAAAATCAAGGCTAGGATAATCTCGTCCTATTCACAACTGAAGCGAAGTCATCAGTGTACAACTTGTACTGTGGTAAGATTTCGCTACTCAAAATTCCATTCAACGGACCTTGATGTGTAAGCAAATCATATCGATTCACGGTGATACATCGGTGGCTACGTAATACCAATAGCTGCTGGATGGTGATGCTCAACTTCGCATGAACGAGCTATTGAGCTTTGTGTCAAGTTCCACTCTCCGAATGCGATGCGCAGTGATTGCCGAGATAGAGAGAAGCCGGAAAGATACCATGACTTGCTATGACGGTATGAAAATGAAGGGACTGGCTTTCCATTTGCGGACTAGCCTAGTCAGCGATTAACGGTAGTGGATAGCGCAGCTAAATATTATGAACTAGAGGGCTTGCTCATATCTTACATATTCGCATTACGTATCACTCTCGATATAGCCGTTTTTCGTTGATCTGTGTGAATTGCCCTATCGATCGACTGACTCGGTAGTCCAGAGACACTAGTCTTCATCCAGCGAAGTTACCGATTGCATGAACTGGATAAACTGATTTCACTGTAGATGTAACTTGGGAACTACTTTACTAATCCTTTCAGTTTCAGTTTGTACAGCCATTAACCACGCATATTCGTACACCGGTTTAGGTTGCTGTCTTTTGGGTACACATTTGGATGAAGAATAGGAGAAGAAAGGAAAGTTAAAAGTGGAGTAAAACAGAAAATGGAGAAGTTCAGTGGTCTAAAGTTGCAAAGAAATTGAGATGTACTAATCCTACCATCGATGAGTTTTTATTACACCCTTAGCAGTAACGTTACAGTATGGAACGGGTTCTCTTCAACCACTTCCATACGAAAGAAATTTGCCAAACCTAACCAGCTGATACCCCATCGATAGAGAAAACAATAGATTCAGTTTTTACGACTATTAATCATGCACTTTCGTGAGCCGGTTTTGGTTGCTTTCTCATAATTTCCCGTTTGAATAAACGAGTATAAGGAAACCAGCAGGCTCTTAAAAGTACTTTCATTGCGTTCTTCAAAATGAAGACTATCCCGTCCCAAAATAATCATTATTACTCTGTAGAATAGTCACGTCTCGCACACGAAACTCAAGGGATTGAATAGACTCTTTAAACCATCCCACCACATACCGGAAAAGAAAGGCCCAGACATCGGGCCAATGATACACGAGAAACACGAACCTCCTAACACCCCTCCTACTTCGTTGTCAATAGACACAAATCAAAACTCTTCGGATTTTAAGTAATGCTGAGTTGTTTGCTATACAATCACGAAGATCAAGTCCAGATTACTGTCCGATTAAATGATGATCACGGGGCATCACGATATTGCAGGAATTTGATATTTTTCCTTTTGTTAACTTTTTTGTATAGAAAACGCTGATTTTTCGCCTCTAAATGTAGTCTGGAGGGTTCGAACTCTTGCATCCATGCCAACAGAGAGGGATTGTTCAGTCGTGCGCACACCCGTTGATATTGGTTCCGGGCACCCAGTGCCCACATGGGACCAGTGTAGAAATCTTTCGGGTCCAGTTTACCATCACCTAGGATATCTGGAGAAAATAAAATCGGAATTATAAGAGCAATATCCGGAAACATCGAGACAAGAGTTTATGTTTGGTAGAACTACATACGACATACGGAATCACAATGCAGAGTCAAGATATTACTCATCACTGAAAAACCTTGGGGGAAATGTGCACCCATTCCAATTTTCTTATCTCATATCTTTTGTATCTTTTTATTTTATTTCCATTTACTGAACATGTAGTGATACGATTTTCAGGAAGAGGGGAGCGGTTAATCAAAAGGGCTCCCATAAAAAATGCAGAGTATGGGGGAACTTAAGCGGAGGTAGTGAAATTCGAACACGTTCTCTGGGGCGATAATACATATGGAATTACCCCAATGGGACACGTCATGTCGCGACACTCTGGATTTCTGCAGTCTCTACGCCTTCTAGACGCACGCCGATCAATTCCGACCGGCAGCGATCATGAAGAATAACGACTCCTAACGAGATATAACCTCAACTCAGAGNTCAGAGACCGCGAAATGTGATGGTCTCAATGTGCATCAGAGATGGAACGTGCTTCCATCATGGCAAACTCCCCCAAGCTGTTCCATCTCATCCGGGTCACCGGTAGGAAAGCTTTCGGCGTGGGCGAAACGATTTGCGAAGCTGACAGCCAACCTATTCATAATCAACATCGACATCTAGCACGCTGGCGTTAACTTCCCCCACAACTACTGCAGCGCATGTTCCATGATCTATTTCAACAGGCCCACGTTCTGAGGNGGAAATTCATAGAGAGATCCAAGCCTTGGGACGTCACAAAGCGCTGGGCTCCGATGGCCTTCCCTCAGCTCTATTTAAAGATGGCGGCATAAAGCTTGCTAGAGAATTGGTGGCTCTGTTAACTGAAGTTTGGCACACTGAGCAAGTTCGTCCTCAGGGGAGGAATCGATTGTTGTCCTTATCTTCAAAAAGGGCCCGTGTAGTGGCTGCGCCAATCATAGGGGTACAAACCTTATCCCAAGAGCATCAAAGCTGTGAGAAACTAGCAGCTGTCGGAGCACCGTCATACCTATCAAAGACCGACGATCTTTTTGTTTTTAGACATCCGTACAGCCTTTGACTCTGGCGATAGCAACACACTATGGAACCGTTTGTTGAGGAATGGAGTACCTGAGAAGTATGCTGTATCGTTATACCCCAGGTCGGGTTAGGGACTATGATCAGCTTTCGCCGCCCTTCGCCGTCTCCAGTGAAGTTCGACAAGGCTGCTGCTCCACATTCTCATTCCTTTTCAACTTTGTCATAAAGGATGTTCTACAGAATGCTTTGTTCGGTTAAAAACGGTGGAGTCGAACTCTTCCCGGGGAACAGAGCCCTTGACTTAGAATATACAGATGATATCGCCTTGCTGGGTGACAGCACAGGAAGTCTAACACGCTTTGAACCGATTGGCGATAGACGTAACTAGGTATGGTATTTGCTTTGTGCCATCCAAATGCAAAGTGCTTGTTCAAGATTGACAGGAGCCCTTGTCTGCACTCACGCTGTGCTGATTGGCTGGAAGTGGTTGAGACCGTTGAGTGCCTCGTGAACTTGATCACAGCTGGTGTTGGAGAGGAAATCACATCACAAATAGCGAAAGCGAGGTCAGGTTTTATCAATTGTGACATTTGTAGTGCCACCATGACGTCCAGTTGTCCCTAAGTGAACGGTGTACATCACCGCGGATCGTGGCGTTCTGCTTTACGGTTGTAAGACCTGGACCTTCCGTGTTGAGGATCCTAATCGACTTTTCGTATTCGACCACCGATGTCTCCGAAACATTGCCCTGTCTGATGCGAACAATGGGTGAGCAATCACGAGGTTCGTTGTCGTTTATTGGGTGCAGATAGTCGCTCTCCAACAGAAGTAATTGCTTGACACCATTTAAGATGGCTCGGTCACGTTTTGTGTATGCCTGCTGATCGATGACCTTTCCGTGCTCTCTTTGCGCGTGCTGGGCAAGGCTGGAAGAAGTGCCACGGTGGTCAGACCATGACATGGCGTTGAGGTATGAAGAAGCTGGCTTCAGCTTTGGCTTCGGTTGGTGCAGTCCGCCTTCTAGGTTGGGACCCAAGGGATGAGGATTGTCATTGGTTAGAGACGATGAGAAATATAACCCAGAATAGAAGAAAGTGGCGCGGATGCTGTGCGGTTTGCCTGTTGAAATCCGGTGACCTATGAAATAAAACTAAAACACAACAAATACCAAGTGTACGTTGAAACAAACAAACAAACAAATTATTATTCTCGTTGTACACCTTAACTGTTTGAACCCCTTTCAGTGTGCTTTGTATCCCAACCCCCATGTTCTGTTATTCCTGTTGTGACGTTGGCATCAAGCTTGCTCATAAGCAGGTAACAA